CGCCACCGCCGGAGCTCCGCCGAGCGTCAGCCTCGCGCGCAGCCTCTTCTTGCCGCCGCGGATGACTACGGCGCCGGCGCCGGGTGGCGTCGCGCCGGCGCCGGGTGGCGTCGCGCCGGCGCCATCCCGTGCCGCCGCCGCACCGTCGAAGAAGGTACCCAATGCGGCGCGGGCGAAGAAGGGCAAAACATCCGCGAAGAAGAACAAGGCGGCGGACGGCTCCGGCATGGCGAGGGGGGAAAAGCTTGCAGGGCGTTCGACGGCCGCGGCGGCTACCGAAGCGCCGACGAGCTCACTCGTTGAGCCGGCCGCCGACGCGCACCACGTGTTCGACGAAATGCCCCCAAGGTGAAAAAATTTCCAAGTATTTTTTTCTTCTTATTTGTTCAATGCATCATCATTTTACATATAGATAGCTTATTTGCATTGTTCAAAAAAATTATAGTCTCAACAATGATGCATACATGTCCACTATGGGTGTTGGGTCCAACAATTCACATTGGTCTCAAACCAATGACATCCATTTCGAAGACCATGAGTTTGAGGTGGACGAGGAGGGTGAGGGAATTGTCGAGGCGCCGAGAGGAAGAGCGGGCAATTACTCCACCACCGATGACAAGTTACTATGCTACACTTATTTGCATGTGTCGAAGGATCCATCCATTGGAGGTGATCAAAGTAGAGACGCGTATTGGGGGCGAATGACAGAACACTTTAATGCTCACAACAAGAGTGGAATTTACCGCTCCGAGAGATCACTTCGGTCCCGATGGTCGACAATCAACTCGGATTGTCAAAAGTGGGCGGCCGCACAAAAGTCGGTGGACAAGATTAACCCAAGTGGCACAAATGAGGATGATCGAGTAAGTGGCATCTCATATATGTTCATCATACTTGTTTTTGGTGACCGAAGTGCTAACTTGTTTTGTTTTTCTTGTAGTACAACATTGCACAAAACTTGTTCAAAGTAGAGACAAGGACAACCAAGAAGGGGAAGATCAAGAAAGGCAGGATCTTTACCTTGCCTCATTGCTATGAAGTGTTAAAGGATGATGAGAAATGGAAGAAGCGTGATGGTTTGGAGGATTTGCATTTGAGCAACAAACGGAAGCGAGCAATTGAGATGAATGATGATGAGGAGGAGGAGGATGCATCAAGTGATGACGGCAAGAGAAGCCCCACACCCAACTCGGTTTCATACTCGAAGCCAAAACGACCGGATGGGTGCAAGAAAGACAAAACCGAAAAGAAGAAGAAGAAAGGAGATGATGAGCTCAAAAATGCTATGGAAGCTATTGTGAAGGCAAGGGTCGAAGCGAATGAGGTGAGGAAAATGGAAAAGAACCAAGATGTCGTGGCCGAGGAGAGGAGGTTGGCGGCCGAGGAGAGAAGGGTGGCGGCCGAGGAGAGAAAGGTGACTTTGGAGGAGAGGAAAGTGAGCAACGAGGAGCGAGCTAAGTTGTTGGAATGGGAGAAGCACTTGTTCTTCATGGATACATCTAACCTCAATGCGGCGCAAAAGGAGTATGTCAATCTTGCCCAACAAGAAGTCTTGATCCGAAAAAGAGCCTTGGTTCGTGCAATGGGTGGCGATGGCCTCGGCGCCATGGGAGGCATGGGTGGCTTCGGCGCCATGGGAGGCGGTGGCCTCGGCGCCATGGGAGGCATGGGTGGCCTCGGCGCCATGGGAGGCGGTGGCCTCGGCGCCATGGGAGGCATTGGTGGCTTTGGAGGCATGGGAGGCATGGGTGCACCTCCGGCCGCCATGGGAGGCATGGGTGGCTTTGGAGCACCCTCCGACGCTATGGCCGCCATGGGAGGCATGGGTGCACCTCCGGCCGCCATGGGAGGCATGGGTGGCTTTGAAGCACCCTCCGACGCTATGGCCGCCATGGGAGGCATGAGTTTTGCTTCTCTCATGGGAGGCATGGGTGTACCTCCGGCCGCCATGGGTGCACCTCCGGCCGCCATGGCTTCTCACACACATTCCCATGAAGATGCCGTTGAAGATCTTGCCAACACCGTCGGAGCTTCACATGATGCGGTGCGTGATGAGGATAGGGAGGAAGGTTCATCTTCGGAGGCGGAAGAGTCGTCTTCGGAAGAGGACGAAGACGAAGAAGAGGAAGATGAAGATGAAGCTTGATGTGTCTTTCATGTCTTGAACTTTTAGTTTGTATTTGAATTTGATTGGATGAACTTGTGGGCATGATTTTGATGAACTTGTGGGCATGAACTTTTATTCATCAACTTGTTTGTGTCAAATTTTACATGTTCATTTTTGTCCAAAATATTCATATATGCAAAATGCCCGGCGAGTCGCGCGCGCTGCATTTCAGCGCGGCTGCTGAAGCCAGCGCAGGCGGGCGCGCAAAACCAGCCGCAGCGCGCGCGCTAACAAGTTTTTTGCGCGCGGCGCTTTAGCGCGGCTGTTGGAGATGCTCTGACGCGAGTCTGCACCCATAAGGCTGGGACGCTCTGCCCTGAGGTACAACATGCTCATGGGGAGACTGCTCCACATGGCTTCGAAGGGATCGAAGAGCAAAATGAATATGAATGCCTACTACGATAAATTGATATTGTTGAGGAACGAAAAGCAAATTCTGAACAATGAAACAGAGGAAAATCTGCAGCAGCAAGCCAGCTCGGTTAGGACAGTTGCAAATTTTGCATCTCAATGACATGAGGATGACAGCAGCTAGATGATATATTTTACAGTGGCAACTGCTCTTCTCGTACAACAGCCGTGCAAACTTAGTGCCAAACAAAATGGCTCTGAACCCCCACTGAAATGAGCCGGGAAAACACCACCAGTCAGGCTCCGATTTGACGAAAAATCATCAAACACCAGGCCTTAACTGATGGAGATTAAGTATAGACAACAAAGACAAAAACCGTGGCCTCGGGACTGAACTGAATCGCCAGAACTTCCCCAGAAACCAGCAAAACAATTGCTGCTGCAGACCTCGATCCTGATATAGCTATTTTCGCATCACTAATTAGAAACAGACTAGGACTAACAATGACTAAGCGTAGCAGATCAAAACAAAATTGAGCTATTGAACATACATCAGAACAACCAATAATTTGTTTCTGAGTAAAGTTATCTCTGAACCTATATGCTAATAAAATATGATCGTTACTGAATTTCCATTTTGAAAAACTAATAAGACCACAGACTTCTTGATCCAATAGAAAATTCAAAAGATCTACTCGTGTGACGGTCACGGGTCCAAAACAGGTGGGAAGACAAAACCCAGAACCCAATAAAAGCCATCACACACGCACGGGGACGGCAGGCACACAGCACGCTGAGATCCGTGCTGAAATCAGACGGCCACAAAATTTGGCTTAAAGCCAAATCAAAATCAGTCAACTGAAAAATAGCAAAAATGTTAATAAAAGTTGGTGGCAGGGAGAAGCCCATTTCTTAAAAATAAAGGTACTACAGATTGGCGCTACAAAAAGATGGTTCCATAAAATTGCACCTAAGATCACCATGCTTATGACATCACAATTCCATCACCGCCTTGATTTACTTCCACTACTTGATGAGCTATCTATTTGTGATACAGGTACGCAACTGAGAATATGAAGAAGGCTCCCATTGTTGAAAATGAGGCAGCATAGTATGGAAACGCTGAAGTTATGAACCTCTCATACTCGTCATGCCTGTATGGACGGACTGGAATCTGCTTTGCAAGAGAGAGGCCAGTGTATCCAAGCCTTTGGTACTCAACCTTGAACTGGAAAACTCCATAAACATCTGGAACTTTGAAGGATGCTGAATATACAGCCGATTTGTCAGTTGACATATTTTTCAGAACATAAGGGCTCATCATGAAAAACTGAATCTGAACATCATCAGCAACATATGGCTTCCAACTTGTACCAGACCATTCATATATCTCAACTGAGTATTCCAAGTCATCATTGATGCGGTACATGCTAGGCTCATTTGTCTCCCCAACCTTATGGTGCATCACATTCACTGCCTTCAGATGACCCCTCTCATGGAAGACCCATTTGCTCGTCTCTGTCACAAATTGTTCATTTCCAGCTTTGTCATGGCTCATTTTGCTGCCAGCCTTCTGCACACCAGACTTTAGGAACCTGTTGCTAAACAAATCCAGTGATCCAGATATTAACACACGAGCATTATTCCTAGCCTGCATAACAGAAACCAGTGATATGGCCGACCCTGTGAGAGATGGAACGGATGCCAGCTTAGCCTCCGGGTTTGCTGAATACGCTGATGGCGAGGCAGATAGAACCTTTAAAACCAAGCTGTTGGATGGATTAGCCGCATGCGCAATCCCTCGGAACAGAACAGGAGCCTCAATCTTTTTGGATCCCAATATCACATCTGACTGAATCAGGTCATCGCCAGCAATCAAGGTGTGGTCACCTTCAACCTCACTGGAGGCATAATTGATGTGGTCAATAACCATTGCTTCCGGGTCCTCATCAAAGTCAACCCCACACTCCGTCGCGATGCCGCGGATCAGATCTGAAGCCGAATGATCTGCTGCCAGAATCATATCGTGCCCAGCATCGATAAACTCCAGAACAGCATTCTGGTCCACCGATCCGCCGAAACGCGGGGTCGATGGGGCGAAGAGGACGAGGCCGTCGTAGAGGTACTGACCGTAGCGGTGGAGCGAGAGCTTGGGGTCGTCGGCGAGGCGGAACTCCAGATCTAGCCCGCGGGCCTGAAGCGAGCCGAAGAAGGCCGAGTGGGATGAGCGGACGGCCAGATCGTCGACGAGCACCAGCAGCTTGCGCCCGCGGGGGCCCTCGCCCGAAGCGTCCCCGAGGGAGGCGACGGCGAGGATGGCCGCGGCGGCGAGGAGGAGGAGGACGCGCGGCGCCGCCATGGCCGTCGTGGTGGTGGTGTGGCGAGATGCGCAGATCTCGCGGCGGGGTTTTTGTTTGGGCTTTAACGGGGCTACTCTAGATCTAGCAGTTGGAGAGGAGAAGGGGAAGGAAGGATAAGGAGGCCGAGAGCATGAAGAAAAGCTTCGCCCAACACACCACGGGCCCCATCTCGCAGTGGCAGTCATACACACGAGCCACTTTAGAGCAACTCCAACGCGCGATTTTGCGTGCTTTTGTCGGTTTAGGCCGGCCGCCGGCGCGGCGTCCCTCCTGTTTATGATTTGGATTGTCAATGCATCCAACACGTCGACTCATATTTGCTAGTCTGGCCATTGTTTTACTACAAATATGCACACATTGGATAGTTTCGAAACTAAATAAATTTACCATAGTTTTATAAACTGAATAAAAATTAAATTGTCTCAAATACATTTAAAAAAGATACATCTACTGGTTGCCAATATGATTCCGCATATACTCAACCAAATCATTTTGCAACTGCATGTGAGTTTTTCAATCACACATTTTATGATGAAATTGGATGAACCGTGCAAACGTTGCTGCTCCTCCTCCATGCTCAGGCACAACATTCTCACCCTGAAACTAAAACCCTTGATCATAGATACGTTCCGGACGCTCATCCTCTACGATCATATTGTGAATGATCACACAAGCAGTCATCACCTCCCACGACTTTTTGGTGCTCCAAGTTCTAGCAAGATACTGAACGATGCCCCATCGAGATTGCAGAACATCAAAGGCACGCTCGGCATCAATTCCTAGCACTCTCTTGCTCTTAGCAAATCTTTTCCTCTTCTCCCCGAAAGGGTTGGGGATTGTCTTCACAATAGTGGTCCACTGAGGATAGATACTGTCACCTAGGTAGCATCCATTTGTTGTAGTTGTGGCCGTTGATGGTAACATTCACCGGTGGGTTGTTGCCTTCAGCAAGCCTTGCAAACACCGGTGAGCGTTGAGGGACATTGATATCATTGTGTGATCCAGTCATGCCGAAGAAAGAGTGCCTGTGAGGCCACGACCTCAAGTATGACAGTGCAAGCCCTGACATGGCCCTTATACTGCCCTTGCCAAACAGAAGGGCAATTCTTCCATTTCCAGTGCATGCAGTCTATGATGCCAAGCATCCCTGGGAAGCCCCTACTGGCATTCATCGCCAACAAGCGGGTTGTATCTTGAGCAGTCAACTCTTTCAAGTACTCAGGGCCAAACACAACAATCACAACCTTGCAGAACCTGTACATGAACTCTATGCATGTAGACTCGCTCATACGGATGTACTCATCAATGAGATCACCGGGCACTCAGTATGCAAGCATCCAGATCCGGATGGCTGTAATGCATTTCTGATAAGATGATAAGCCAATCTTTACAAGGGCATCCTCTTTGCACTCGAAATAGTTATCGTATCCAACCACCCCTCTCTAATACGGTTGAAAAGATGCCTAGCCATACGAAAACGCTGTAGAAATTTCTGATGTTTGAACAACAGGTTGGTTGTGTCAAAGTAGTCCTCCCAAAGAAACAAATGGCTGCTCTCTTGGTTGTGATTCAACATCGGAATGTGCCCTGGGATCGAGCCCCGGAACAACAGTCGCTGCCTATTAAGGTGGTCATGGACCAACACGACAGCCAACATCTCCTCATCATCGGACGAGGAATCGTCGGAGTCGCACAGGAAATTATGGAAAAATAACTCGTCGGCGGAGTCCATTTTTTACCTTGGAAAACTGTCGAACAACTTGCGGGCATCGACGAAGAAGCTGGTTGGCGAAGAGAAGAGACACGCGCCTCCCTTGGACCAGGTGGCTAGCCTGGCGGCGGCCATCAAGCGTGCCGGTGTCAGGACAACGTGCGGTGTTGGACAAAGGAGCTGGCCAGGACAAGGGAGGCGACTTCTTGCTCGCAGCGACGTCGGAGTGTGGGATGGGAAGCTTTCGGTGCCCCGATGGAGAGGCGGTGGTGTCGACCACATGGGAGGTGGCGGCGATGGGGGAAGGTGTGTCGAGACGGGCTGCTGGCAAAGGCACGAAAAAATGGGCGGTGACGACGACCGGACAGGACGAGCGAGGGTTTGTTGTCAATATGAATGGAAGAGGATGGCCAATGTGCCACCAAATAGCGGGCCAGGGGAGGAGTAGGCGCGCATCGCGTGCGTCCGCTTCGTGTCCACACCGACGCAAATCAGGCTCAAAATTGGGCCAGGAATGGGTCGGCAGGCGGATAAAAAGCGGACGCGCGTCCATTTGGGTCGGGGCGTTAGGCCGACTTTTCTGTCCGCGCCAACCCAAACGGACGCGCGCGGACGAAATGGGTCGGCGCGTTGGAGTTGCTCTTACTCACGTCCTGTACTTGAGGCCACCCGAACTTCTCGAAGGGCGGGGTCAGAGTCGTGGCATTCTTCCCCTCTTGTATGCCGACTTGACATAAAGGCGGGGAAGTACATTGAAAAGGTTCTCACCAATGTGATCGCCTCCTAATCTGGCCGCTGCCGCCACAACTACCACCACAGTTTTGGTCCCCCTCCTCTTTTCTGTCTGGTGGCCTCGTCAGCGGAAAGAGGAGTGGGGACCCGACCGTTTTGTGTTTGTTAGGCTTTTACTTCTCCAGCGACATCGACGAGGTGTTTGCGGCAATGGCGTGTTGGAATAAGGTCTCTCCGGTCTTTCCCTACCTTGACGACGTCCGATCTGGCATCGACAAAGAGCCTGTGAGTTTGTGTCCCCAGATCTGTTGGTTCCCTTCAGATCTGCAATTCATGCGTCTTCCAAGGAGAGATTATGACAACCTATTGGTGTGGGACTTAGGTGTTATTCTGTGACTTGGTCTGGTTTCTCCAATGCTCTTTGCTGATGGTGATGGATTGCAAGCATGTTTTGCGCGAGGGTGATGCTCTAGTTAATGTTGCTTCAACGATTTTTAGATCTCGTCTCAAGGGGCGAGTGGCTATTGCAGTCTTCAAAGTCAGGTATGGCAGGGCAATTCGCAAGTGTCGCCCTTCTTTGCTATTGGTTCAGTGCAATTTTGAATCTATGACCAACGACGTACACTCGGAGAAAGAAGAAGATGAGTATGCTTTTTCGTGTAATTTTATTTTGTACTGGTCGTTCTACGCCCAGTTGTTTACCCTTTATACTAGCCTTTATTTTCCTCAATATTAATTAGATCTAAGATGCCCTTTGGGTGTGTCTATTAAAAAAATAGTGAAGTAGGGAAACATTGTCGCAGCTTCACTGGTGATATGTCCATATTGCATCATGTTTTCCTATTGTTATTTATAGTGCTTTTAATCAATATAACACTTTGTGCAGCAATTCTAATGCCTTTTCTCTCTTGATATGCAAGATTTACATGAAGAGGGAGATTGCTGGCCGCTGGAATTTTGGACCTGAAAAAGCTATGACAGAGATATCTATTCTGCACATCTCCAAATGAGCTGAAATTTCACGGAGATTTATTTGGTAATAAATAAAAATATTGGAAAAAATAAGTTCCAGAGGGGGCCACCCATGTGCCCACAAGGCACCAGGGCGCGTGATACGTCTCCAACGTATCTATAATTTGTTGTTCCATGTTGTTATATTATCAATCTTGAATGTTTTATATACGTTTACTAGCAACTTTATATCATTTTTTGGGACTAATCTATTAGCTTAGTGCCCAGTGCCAGTTGCTATTTTTTACTTGTTTTTTACTTCATAGAATATCAATACCAAACAAAGTCCAAATGATACAAAATTTTTTGGAGATTTTTTCTGGTGATAAGAGACCCTGGAAGCTTCTGGAGCACGCGAGAGGAGGCCCGTGGGGCCCACTAGACACCAGGGCGCACCAGGAGCCTTTGGAGCGCCCTGATGGGTAGTGGGGCCCACGGGAACCTCCTTGACCTACTTCCGCCTCTATAAATACTCTAAAATCCCATAAACCGTAGGGGAGTCGACAAAACACTTTTTCCACCGCCGCAAGTTCCAGAACCATGAGATCCAATCTAGAGGCCTTTTCCAGCGCTGGGTCGGAGGGGGCAACAATCACGGAGGGGTTCTTCATCATCCTTGCAGCCCCTCCGATGGTGCGTGAGTAGTTTACCACAGACCTACGGGTTCGTAGTTAGTAGCTAGATGGCTTATTCTCTCTTTTTGATCTTCAATACAATGTTCTCCTCGTTGTTCTTAGAGATATATTTGATGTAACTCTTTTTTGCGGTGCGTTTGTTGGGATCCGATGAATTGTGAGTTTATGATCAGTTCTATCCATGCATATTAATTGAGTCTTTGCTGAACTCTTTTATGCATGATTGTTATACACTCGTATTTCTTCTCCAATTTATTGGTTTGGTTTGGCCAACTAGATTGATTTATATTTCCATGGGAAGAGGTGCTTTGTGATGGGTTTGACCTTGCGGTGCTCAATCTCAGTGACAGAAAGAGCATGACACGCATGTATCGTTGCTATTAAGGGTAACAAGATGGGGTTTATTCATACGTGAGTTTATCTTGTCTACATCATGTCATCATTCTTATTACATTACTCCATTTTTCCATGAATTTAATACACTAGATGCATGCTGGATAGCGGTCGATGTGTGGAGTAATAGTAGTAGATGCAAAATCTTTTTGGTCTACTAATCTTGGATGTGATGCCTATATACATGATCATTGCCTTGGATATCATCATAATTATTTGCTTTTCTGCCAATTGCCCAACAGTAATTTGTTCACCCACCATATGCTATTTTCTTAAGAGAAGCCTCTAGTGAAAACTATGCCCCCTTGTCTATTTCCTATCATATTAAAACCAAAAATATCTTTCTGCAATTTTTCTTTCTTTATTTTATTTTGAGTTTTAAAACCAAAAATATCTTTCAGTGTAGGTCTCTAGAAGCTCCAGTGCATAGTGGACTGCTAAAGCGCGCGGAGAATGTCAAGAGAGGGCGGGGTAGACCGAATTTGACATGGGAGGAGTCCGTTAAGAGAGACATGAA